ATATTCATAAAAGCACGTATTATAGCAAGGAAACAACACTAAAAAACTAAAAACTAAAATCGTACCGTTAATTTTTATACGTCGTGCAAATATAATATTTATATTATATTTTATTCTATATAATATATATTATATATAATAGTTAAAAATAGTAGTTATAACTTATAAGAAATACAAGTAACCAAAGCTTGTAGTATCACAATGTGGGCAAAATAATTTTTAGAAAACAAAATGTACACAATACATCAGGCTAGTAATATATATATAATATTATATTTATATATATATATATATATATAGAAATATCGTTTATTATAAATATATTTGTAGTACAAAAAAAAAAATAAATAAATACATAAAGGGAAATGAAAAGTTTATTTCTCAACATTTATCTAGGTATAATTATTTAATTTTACATATTTTTTTAAAATAATTAATTTAAGATCTTTTAAAAATTTATCTAGTATTCCTATTCATTTGATTTATCAAATTATTATTTGTCCATTCGATGGATAGAAAAACAAATGATATATTAAACAAAACAACGTCCCTAAGTCCTAACACAATAACACTATTCTACTGTTCGGAATCAGTCTCTGAACAAACTCATCTAAGGCATTTCAAATTAATCTAAATGACATAAAATGCGAGCTGCGCGTAAAGGTCACGGGGACATTTCTATTAATGCGGGTAATTAATATTAATTCATTACTACGATGATGTCCGTACATAATATATTTAACGATACTACAATGTCGAACAAACTTAGCGTCGCGGTCGGTGTATCGTACTGATTCTTAGTAATTTAGTCTGTCTGGCGGTGTAGGTAATTTACAAAACGAGTGCGTCCAGACAATTAAACTCGAAAAAATTTAAAAATTAAGCAGCACTCGCGTCACGTTCGTCGGACGAAACTTTTTTTTAAATCGGATATTCTTGATCGTTCTGATAGGTACCTTCATAGCCGAAATAATTATATTATTAAAATATTCAGGTCTATTTGATTATTTTTGCCATTCGATAAAATTTTTTTGAAAAATTTTTTTTTTTTAAATATTAGATTTCACTAAATTAATTATTTTGATACGTATGATAATAATTGTTTATATCAATTTAGTTTAAATATTTATTCTTAAACTCTATTGATAGATTTTCTATACATTATATGGGGGAGGCATTCACAAAATAATATAATAATATCATTACATTTTATATTTGATGCCAATAGAACAGATTACTTGGAGGTGTTAATATATAATAAATCATAGTAATTACGACTCACAACATCTGTGAAATAATTTAGAATAACACATTTAAAAGGGAAATACCAAAATAAGTTTTTAGTTTCACATAGGTACCATGGTAAAGTTGGTTAAAGAGCTGCCAGTTGCTGATGAAACGCATTTGCCGGTTTTTGCTAAAAATGAAAAATTACCGTATAGTCTGTTTAATCAGTAAGCGTTTTTACTACACTTTAAAATATAATACAATGGTGGTAGAAAACAGGGGGAGATTAGGCCTTGGGTTTTCACTTCGGTGAAGCACATTAATCCATTGAAACGTCAAAACGCTGCAAAAGATTGTTGATTAATTGAAACCTTTACACTATCTTATTTTTCGGAGTTGACTCCCCCATCGCCGTTTTTAATAAATTCGACGACGTGGGGCCTCCCTTCAATTGAGATCGGTTATAATATGCGGTGTTTGGTTTTTCAAAAAGTAAAAAAAATCCTTAAAAAATTATATTATTTAAATAATTAATTTTATGGACAACCAAGGAAATGCATTATATATTATATTATTCCATATGCACTTTGCCCCGTAACATTTTGATGATGGCCGATGGGGAGTTTAATTTATAATAAACGATTTCTGTTCGATAACAATTATTACACACAAACGCCTTATAAGAGATCACAGAACATTTTTCTAAAATAATAATAATTACAATCATTATTATTATTGTTACAATTTGTTAAAATTTATTGTTATTAATAATTTAGAATCTATATAATCTATAATTACTTATAATAATATGTACCTATATATGTATATAATATTATGGAATATTGAAGTATCGTAAGTTAAGCTTTTCACGTCATAAACATTAATAAAACCAACAATTATAAATGGAACGTGCTAGTGTGTAGTGGGTACATAATGTATCTATATACATGTTGTATAAGACGAAGTTTGAATTGCTACTAATTCAATTTTACTATATTATATAATTAATATTATTATTATTATTATTTCCGAAGCGTTCGAAGAAGAATATTATTTAATACTTTCCTATACAATTACAACGATAAGTATATATATATTTATTTATGGTTTAAAATAATGTTATACGCTATCGTATACGATATATACGCATGCACACATTATGCAATTTATATATATGTATATAATATGCTCCTAAGTGTGTGCACACGAAATATATAATTAGCTACGAGTTGTAACAGCGATAGGTATATTGGATTTATATTATTATGTATATTATAGCCTAGTGACGATATATAGTGCGTTGAATTACGAATGCCAGAGGTGAACGCAGCCGGGTTTTTGGGGGTCAAGACTTCTCACCCCACCTCCCCTCTCCCCGAAATATCAAGAAAACCAAAAAATTACAAAATTAAAGTCGCATTAACTTACAACGATGCAAGAATCACGGAACCACCGACCCCATCACCCGATCTGAAATGTTTTCCGGCTCCCCAAGAATGCACGCCGAGCGTATTATACGATATAATATTATAATCACGCGGTATAACACGACGCCCGTTTATGGTCTGCGTTTCGACGACATGAATAATAATCGGAACATTTTCCGTCACATCCTTCGATCGTTATACATATTATTTTATATGGTCTTCACTACGATCTATGCGACCATTTCCGCAGTATTGTCACACGATTTATCCCACATGTTAATATTTGTTTATTATTCATGCATCGTTTTAAGTCGAGGAAACCGAATGTAATTCGTTACTTCGGGCCCTGTGGAAAATAAACATGAAAAATACTAAATAGCAGTTTCGTCCCGTTGCTGTAATCACGAATTCAACGGACGTGCCAGAGTTCTATTTTAATATCATTAAAATTATTTTTGTCATTATTTTAGAGCTGCCTCGTTAATAATAGGATTATTCATTGGCGCAAATCCGTGAACAAAACGGCGGTAAAACGAACGCGGACATACATCTGTATACACGTGCGACTATATGGTTAAAATGTCACTGACCACTGCAGTGTCACATTCCGCAGCAGCTATAGGATATCTAGTATAGATATAGATTACCTGTATACCTGTATGACCAAAGTTCATCGTACACCTATATAAATAAAAATTATATTTTTTTGCCCAGCAGTATAAAATACAATATAATATATAGTTACGTAAACTGGAATTCGACATCGTTATTATTTTACTTTACTCCGTACCGCGGGACATGTACATATTTTTATATCATTCAATTATTGTCAAAATAATATACATTATTATTATATAAATCACGCCGAAAAACAACCTAACGGGTTTATCACGCCGGCGTATATGTTGTATAATACGATAATGTACCCAACCACAGATGGGTAGCGGTGTTAGTTGATGTAGTAGGTCAAGCGAGTGCATAATATTAAGAACGCATAATATACGGAAATGCACGCTGCACAGGTCTACGCTGATCTCCTAAAGCTGTAATTCGTCGATAAACCTCTGTGCGTTTTAGATGGGCGAGCATTGAATGTTTGACGAAAAACATGAAATAGAAAATAAGAAAGCCGTCAGCTGATGTTTTTTTTTCGGTTTCTCCGTGGTTGAAGACGAACGCTTTTGGGCAAATATTATAAGCCAATCAGTTTATGACACGTACATCGCGTATATATATAGGTACCGTCACGTTATGGCTCGGTCGAGTCTGGGTGATCGTTACATTTCGGGTTTTTTTTTCTCTACGAAAATTTAGAAAACTAGATTCGAAATACGCATCGACGACGACCCTGTGCGCACGTGGTGTATAATAAGTAATACCTATCAATATGTACCGGATCGTTGTTGATTAATCGTCTATTCCGCTTTCTTTCGTTTCGTCAATCATTGACAACGAAGACTGTTGAAAAAAATATGTTCTGTAATAATATAATAAGATAACAGTCATTTTATTATAATAATAATGGTACGATGCTTAAATAAAAAGAAAGTCATCAGAGTGTGACCAATTTCCAAAATTGTGTCTTTTTAATAACCCAAGTGCGTCCGCATTTGTTGTCGCTGTGTATATTTTTGGTAGAAACCGTCTGCGTAAGTAGTTATATCGTTGATATTTGAAATTCGTCATTTTTATGAACTTTATCCGGACATATGATTATGTAAATGTTTAGAAATATTTAAAAAAAATCAAATTGATAGACAATTTATATTCAATTCTCTCATCAAAACCTAGAAAAAACTACATTAATTAAGGACAGTATTAGAAAAGATAGTATCAGAAAAGACAGTATCAAAATATTTATGATGAAACTCTCAATAAAAAAAGAACATTTAATGTTAAATTGACAACATTATTGAAAATAATATTATACGATTTAAAAAAATAAAATTCTTCAAAGCAAAGTATTGGGGTGTAATCTCCAGGTGTCCACCACCTCTTGGGTGCACCCCGGGCTAATGTAATTAAATGGGACGCACATGGGCCATGCAATATAAAAATCATTTTTTTTTAGGGACGCATACACATCAAATACTTTTTTTTATGTATCTGCTCGAAATATTATCCAAGTATCATTTTGAATAGTGGGGGGTTGGCTAAAATATTGTCGCTGTGCTCGGTGATTAGTGACTTTGGCGGGAAGCGATGGAAAATACGTGTAGAAAAATAATAAAATGATTTTAATAATAATAATAATAATAATAATAATAATAATAATAATAATATAAAATAAGTATGAGAAGAAAAAGACGAAGAAAATATGAAGACGAAGAAGAAGATGAAGAAGAAGAAGAACAAGAAGAAGAACAAGAAAAAGGAGAAGAACAATAGAAAAGAACGTCGAGCGAGGGACATAATATTATAATATAATATATATACGCCATGCACGTTGTCCCGCGTATTCGTCACACATCGGAGTGACAATATGCGACGTAATCGCATTACACTTTTCAAGTATATAATAATAATAATAATAATGATACATGTTCACGGTAAACGCGGTGCGTACGCGATTCAAAAATAAATATGATAATAGTCATAATAATAATATTATATCGTCAATAATAATAATAATAATAATAATTGCGCGCGCGCGCGCGCGTACTCGTCCACTCTCGTCTGGTCGTCATTAGGGACAACCGCACTCGTCGATGACCATTTTGGGCAGGTCTCGCTTGATGATGTTACCGTCGTCGGTGAAGTAGATGAGCGACATTGACGAGAACTTGACGGGTGCGCAGCACGGCTGGAATATGGACGAGTGTTTGGCCTTCCGGTAGTCCTCGATGGCCTGCGTGTAAAAGTTGAGGTACGTGTCCGGTGTCCTGTGCACACCGCCGCAGTCGCCGCGGCAATAGTTTGCGTAGTAGCCGCCGGGCGCGATTATCCACGAGTCCCAGCCGATGTCCTGGAACTTGATGTAGAATCGCTGCTTGCAGCACTGGCCGCGCTGCGCCAGCGAACAGTCCAGCGCCCGGCGGCGCACGCGCCTCGCCACCGTCGGGTCCGTGTACACCATCAGGAACGGGTTTTCCCACTCGTTGGCCTGCCTGGTGTCGTGGAACAGCACCGGCGATACCAGGCCCCCGCACCCGGAACAGTCGATGTGGAACCTCAACCGGTGTTTGCCGCTGGACCCGTACCACTCGCGCACCGTGTTCGTCACGTCCACTGATATCCAGCCCAGGTTGTTCAGCGACAGTGACAGTGACGACGCCAGCGTGGCGTGCTCGTCGAATTCCTGTTCGTGTACAATATACAATATAATACGCAATACAAATATATAAAAAATTATAAGATCGTAACCTATAGACCTTAAGCACTCTGTATTATATAAAAAAAACCAGTATACTGTATAAAAAAATTAAAAAATTAGCCATATTACTAAAAATTAAATAACAGTGTAATTTAATCTTTGACTACGGTGGAAACCATTTGTATAAACAAAAAATATTCGATTTTCGTGAGTCAAAACGAAATTTATGTGTATCGAACCACCCTATAGGATCGCATACAGGTTGAAAAAGGAGCTAAAAACAACTTTCAAGATTCGAAGAATTGACATAACTTTATTGAAATCGGTCAAAAAATCTTTGAGTTTAACCGTCGTTTATTTGGATAAAAACTACTACAGCCATATATTTTATGAAAGGGGTGATAGTATAACAAGTTTTATGCGCATTTAATATTCCACGTATTTTATGTGCAAACGTTTCAAATTATAGATATTAAATTAAAGATGCAAGTCGATGGGGGAGGGGGGGGCGGTTGGAAAGTAAAGTGAACCGAAGGCAAAGCCCCCTAGTATTCTAGTAATATTATTTTATGATGTGGATATTAATATTTTCATAACGTTATGCTGTACTGCATGCTGGCTGCAGTGTAGACCATTGTTTACGCGTACCTACCGCTGCAGTATTCTCATTATATTATATACTGCAGTGCGACTTAAGGGTGGTTTGGAAGGATTAAGAGTCTAAAAAAACAACTAAGCCGCACGTTCTACGCAAACCATTAGCTATGCGTTCAAAATTCGTATGAAATTAACGCCGTCTTCCGCAAATCAGACGTGTAGTCCAACGATTTTGGTTCTGATCTTATTTAGCACTACGGTGCGTCCGATGAGGCAAAATACAAGTTGTTTTTTTTTTCGCCGAACTCGCAGGATTTATGTCAGACACTGCTGAAAACTCCACCAAAACTCAAATCCCCCTACGACTTTGTAAATATGCTTATAACCATTTACCGCGCCACATATGTTTAAATTATGAGCTGTGTACTAATTGACCGTTTGTATCACAGACCACTTATAAAATCTGTCATGTCTTAAAATCGAGTTATCGAAAACAAACGGAATTGTGATTGAGTTTCCGCCGTTACATATCCATATAAGTATATAGTATAACCAGAATTGTGAACTTGGGAGTTGACACAGACAGTAATAACTACACTACAAACATAAATATATTGTGTGGACATATTTGGCCAATACCCTCCCCCTCCTTCCCCAGAATGTGTTCAGACTCGCCCACGAGCGTCAATGAACCCAAGCCCCATTGTTAGGTTCTATATAATATGTGATTATAAATGCCTAGCCTTCTCTTATTGTAACAGATGTATTATTATATTTGTCACATATTACATAACGTGATGAGTGACGACATCATTGCCTTGTCCCCGCCTTCTCGTTTTTCTATCGAATTAAGGCTCTCAAAAATATCTTAAGCTCCAAGTATAATGGCCCCACCACCAACCTCTTGTAAGAGTCGTATGCAATGTGCATAATATGCGTTTACGCAGTGCGACGTGTTGGTACATAATGGGGGTGTTTGGCGGGGATAGTGATTGGGTGCGACTAGCGAGAAAAATGTTTTAGACGAGAATGATGGGAGAAATGCGTCCGTTGAGAAATCACGTAGCAATAAGGGCAAGCGGAAACGTGCGTATACGTATTATATAATATAATACAGTTGGCGTGCGTAGACGTGCGTGGAAGGCTGTCTGGCCCACGGGAGTCTGAGGAGGACTTGTCACGACATGCATCACATTATGGAGATTAGAGTGGAAGAGAAGAAAACCAAGACATGGTTATAAGCTACGGTCTACACCGTTCGGTATACTATTATGTCCCATGTTACGCTCGGATGATAACACACGGGGTTAGGTGATTGATAAAAATAATTCGCATCGATTACCAAACCTCTGGGTACAACATAATACAATTGTACACATTTTTACTTATAATAGTCGTTTTAAACCATATAATATTATAATGTTTGCGGTACTAAACCGTAGCGCTCCAACACTTTAATATTATTATCATAATATGTTATCCGCAATATATCATTCCGAACTCAACGTTACCATATGCACTCTGAACACCCGTGGCAGTATGTAATTGCGTACACATTTTATTGTTTTAGGAAACATTATAGCGTTATTTTAGCGATCGCATTAAATTGTATGTCAAAAGATTTATTAGTAGTTATTATATACACTCTATCAGTTTGTTTGGGGTTAGACTAGGTTTTAGTGACCTATTTGAATCATTTCCAACCGTTGTGAATTATACATGCATTGGACGATGTGATATTCTTTATAATAATAGTACAACTACAATAATCGATTACTACGTACATCCGCACTCGATCATTGCCGAAGTATAATTATTACGATGTTAACATCGAGTTCTGTAAATTATGTGTTTTAAATTACAATAAAATTAATTCTCGAGATGTCATTTAACATAAAATATATAATGATTATATAACTTTGATTTAGAATAATCTACTCTTCTAAACTAAGAATGATTATACTAAAAAATCACGAGATTAAATAGAAATTTTTTTAACAAATTATAGTAGGCACCTATATTAAGTAAACATTTTTTTAAATTATATATATGATTATTAGTGTTAGCTGTAATAGTAAAAACATTTAAGTTTAAAAATTTGAACTTCCTTTTAATTGAAAGAAAACTGAAGTCTTACATAATATTTAATCATATTAAATAATTTAAAAAGAGAATGCAGACAATATATGAATTATAATATGAATTATAATTAATAATATTTTATAAACGTATATAATACAGTTCTTTATCAAATTGTTTTGTAGGAATTAAAATACAAATCTAAGCGGTATGATAATATAATCTACTAAAATACTACGACTACGCTAATTGTAATAAATGTTGTGTATTTTTTGCGAAACATACCTTACCACTTAGGAACGTGGTATTCCGCATTGGGTTCGTGCGGAAGTTTATTTTGAACAGCCACAGAGTTACATTGTGACTGTGATGGGTCCTACGCGCGGCCGGGGGTACGTCCGGCCTGTATTCTAACCTAAACCACAGCTTCGCAGACTTGACTTTCACAGAATCAGTGCTTCCCATATCCTGTGACCACGGGAATTCTAATAACGTTTGTCCGTTTAACGTTGATCCTGGAACAGTACAAAATAAAACTTAACATTTTATATTATACTAAAATAATAATAGTAAAGTAATGTTGGAAAATTATCTTTACGAACAAAATTTCGTCTTTCAAATTTGAAAAACTATATGCAATCCAACAGGCAATACTAAAATATGTATGTTATATTACGAATATTTCGAAATTCTGACTGTATAATATTATCAATCATAGCCTGATATTTAATTTAGCCTTATTGATATTAAGACTCAAACCAAATTAATAAAAACAAGCTTGTGTGCAATCGTCAATACATTATATCGTATAATATCTATTTTGTAATATCGATAACATTTATAACACTAAACACTTTCAAATCACAAGGGTTTGGAAACAACGTGGTTACCTAAGTACGTGGTAAGTTGTACCTAACCCGTAATTTAACAATATGCAACTTTTTAAACATGTAATTCTATATACGATGCTCGAGTCGAATACTTGTGGTTTTTGAAGTGGTGTTTACATTTCATATTTATAAATTATAATACTCTACGAGGTTGTAAAAATTGAACTTTATAAACTTTAAATTAGTAATACAGTCTAGTCTATGCATACCTAAGACAAAAACAACGACTTAGCGACAACATTTTACAAGAAAACGTCATTATTATTATTATTATTATAAGTTGCAACATTATGTTAAGAGGTTGAAGGATGGTGTGTTCGTTAAGGGTTAAAAGATGTTAACCCATCCATTTTCTGTATCCGTCTTACAAACGTACGACATAACAAATTTTCATTTATTAATTTCAATAGTGTGCTGTTAGTTTTGACATTAGAGTGAATTGGCCTATTATACAACTTTTGGGTAAGAACATTATCTATGTTTAGGCTTTGATAATTTTTTAATATTTTCATTTTCAAGCAAGATATGGGTGTGTGAAATATCTAAAATTAACAATGCTCATAAATCGCTTGAAAATTAAAATGTCGATTAAAAACCAACGCTTAAGCACAGATAATTTTCTCATCTAACAGCACACTATTACAACTACTGAAGAAAAATAAATTTACCATGTTGTACGCATGTAAGACGGAGCTAACAAAAATACAATATATTCATGGAAACGTCCTCTTAAAGAAAGTCTATCTATAAGGTTATAACAATTTTTAAACGCGGAATATTAGTACACCACACACTTTGATACCTATATTAATTATTATATAACCTACTATTTGAAGAAAGCGGAAAGTTATATCAATTACGAGTCTGTACGAACTGCTGGCACTGTGCCAAATATTATGACTAGTACAGTAAAAAAAAAGTCGAGCAAGTCCAAAATTAATTTGTTCTCGATTCAGTTAAGACGTACCACTTTATCGAATCATACAAACTATATCTTATGGTTAACTTTTAAGTCACATAATATTATATCATCGAGCACGATTTTCAGAAAAATAATTTTACCACAATGGACGACGTTGTGCGGTATTATTTTAAATTTGTATTCTTCGTTATTGTTTAAATTATATTTTATATTTGTATACACACTGCGCACGACACCAACCGTTCTTTTACCTTGTCTATAGAGCGCAATATTATTATTTATCAGTCTCAAAACTCGGAAGATATAATAATAATTTAGTTTAGGGTTTAAACAAACGTTATCCACGAAACACGATAGAGTTTTAAGCTAAATCATAATATGTATAATGTAATATTGCTTTTCAGTGATTTGAACTCAGTGAGTTGACGTTGCTCGTAAGTATGTCATATAATACAATAATATTACTGTTATCACGATTTCGGAGAAGAATAACACACTCGCGCCATGCTCGTAATTTCCCAAGAATGCAATAAACGAAGTTCCGTTTTACTTAGCTGGAACTATTCCGCATCATCCAAAACTTGATTTTGAAGATGACGTTTGAAATTCAGACTTTGGAGTCATACCACCCTGCTTGCCATCACCGGGAATTCGTGACCTTTTCCAAGAATCGGACGCCGTTTATTGTATTACAATATTCGCTTTTATTCTCGGTGGTTGCTGCAACCCGTGCGGGTTCTCGGAAAGTCGCGATGACAACCCAACGTTGGTTTTCCGGATAACGTGAACGTTTCGCATATCACTAATAAATATCTTCGTCATCTTCGTCGTCGTTTCGTCATCTCCGCCTTCGGTTCAAGTGTGCACTATAATAATAATATTATAATGTCGCGGTACGTTGTACATAGGAAGCGGTTTTAAACGCGTCGCGTCGATAAAATGTTTATTGTGTTGTTAAGACGCTCTCGCCGGTGTGCGATGGTCGTTACTCAAGACTCGCGTGCCATTACAAAGTATTCGGCATGATAATAATAATATGATACGCAATCGAAATTAAATTCTCTCCTGCGGCCTCGTCGGATGGGTGTTTCGAACGACATAATAATAATAATATATAATAAAATACGTATAATACGAGACCATATCATTACTATTATTATACTACTCGACAAACACGTGCGGTGCGTTATATGAGCACTATAATAAAATCGCGGTTGCATACGATTATAATATTTTATATAGGCGCGTTAATATTATATGCGGGCTTCCCGATTTAAATACCGCGTTTTGCAAACCATACGTTACCAGAATTACCGCGCAATGTCGCAATTTTATGTTACACATTTATAACCGTCGCCGAAGTAGTAGATGGGTGGATAACCGAATTCGTAAATATTCACTGGTGGTTATACGAAAATATTGTGTAAATATTAACCGTTATTGTAGCGATCCTTACCTCAGCGATGTGAAAACAGAATGCGTTGATCGGTTGTTATATAACTAATAAATCTTGATCCAGAAAATATAACTAAAATAAAACGTGCGTGAAACACGAAAAAAAATATCAAACAGTTTATGGACACAAAACCTCGAATACTACATCATTTTACGTTAGAACGCAAAATATTCAATATTATAATTTTTTAATTATAGTTTGATCAATACGATCGCGGTTTTCTACTTAAAACCAGAAGTCAAGGTTAAAAACGTCGTAATAAAGTGTTTTACTAAATAACGTAGCAATAGTTGCAAAAGACGATGCGGACTCTATACGTAATTCTAAATGTCCCGTTGTATAAATTGTAATAAATATACAGGATTCTAAACTTAATTAAACTTTAAACTTTTTGTCGTAGGGGTCGGAGAAATGTATTTATTGTGTATTACACGAGATAAAGCCTTTTATAAATATTAAAACTACGTCAAATACGACGCTGCATTTATATTTTTTTATATCGAGAACGAAACACCAATTAAATAATCAACAACAATTTATAAACGCTGCACGGACTTGATGTCACGTCGGAGGCAGATGCGGAGTAATTTATTGTTTTTGACTATTTAGACAATATGGAATAAAATATTGCAATTTTTTTTTTTATTGATTAACATTATGTATTTACCTTGTGGGTGAGGACAGTTAATAACTGTGTGTCTGTGTAATACACCACTTAACGTCGAAATTAATTAAAACCATATAACAATTTCATACGTCTGAAAAGGACCGAATGAGTAAAGAAAAATGACAAAATAAATATTAAACAGATTAAATTATATTGTCTCTGGATACTTGTCTAACGATACTTCTTACGATGTTATTTTCTAGATATACTGTGCTTTTTGCGTATACTATTATATATAGTTTGATTTAGATGATTTCCAGTAGCCCCGACAATCGCGCTGAATGTGTAGGCTTACATGTAAAAGTTTTAAAAGATTCTCATAATAATGTAGCATGGTATGGTCTTGCAATTTCAATTGAATCTTATCGGAGTACCTATATAATATAGTGCATTTTAGAATTTTAAACAGAATAATATACTATAGAAACACTATTTGCCGAGAGACTACGTGTACATAACCACTGGACAAATAGACGTACGCGATAAAGGACATCCGGCGTACCGACGGAAATAGACGCGTAATGCACTAATACGTATTTGCACATATAATAATATATTATGTACGACGCACCACACTCGTCGAGACGACTGGGTAATATTGTCTGTACCGCCAACCGCGTCTGTGCAGGGACGTTTTATTTTCAATAGCAGCCCTTTTTAAACATAACCAGTATTATTTAAGTCCGATATCGTAATTCGACCAAACGAAATAGCGCCGGTCGTCCTGTTTCAGCGGTTTACTTTCAGAAACCGCGTCTTTGTCCACGCGCGTCTAGACATTGTCTCGCTAATGGCTTGGCAATGTTGGTTTTAATGTTCGTCCTATAAAGAGGTCCGGGGCACATTTAAACTAAACTGTATAACACAACACTCGACCTTTATGAATATTCGTCGTAAATACTGCGCCGAGCAATTATTTTGCCGTCTTCGACATGGGGACATTGGGAATATTTTCCGTTACGCCAGATAATATACACATTACACGCATAAAACTGTCGGCGTCTATTTAAATCGAAAGCAAATAATTCAACGAGTCGGAAACCGTTTCTATTTCACGTTTGCGAGAAAAAATACCAACGCCGCGGACGTCGTATATGCAATAATAATAATAATAGTAATAGTAAATATATTAAATGGTCTTAGTATCGCGATGCGAGCATCTCATTATCGCATAATATTAATATGCATAACAAAATAATATTACGCTGAACGTCGTTAAACTGTTATAAAATTGTTTCGCAAACGGGTTACTATAATTATTATGGCTTGACAACAATATAATATTGTGTTATTAAAATAACACGATTTCTGTGATATTAATTATTACAATTTATTTTACTTATTTATTCGTATATCAATATTACAAATAGTGTAAATACTTAATATTATTAATACTAATTACTGTAGAACGGCCACGACACACGTCGAATCATTTAAAACATAATATGTACCTATACATACTATATATTCTAAAATATCATACTCGAGTGACGTGGACAATTTATTTTTCGTATGACAGGCACTGTAGGCTCTGGGTCAATACAATATAGTTGATTGACCTAATTGCCAAATCGAAAGAC